TTTGTAGGTTTAAATGCCACCCTAATTCTAACGTTGTTGAGAATCCTACGTATGGTTTCTGATGTTCCTTCCTTGTATGGTATCACAATAGAGGTGTTGATTTCCTTTCTACTTATGTTGTCGCTATTATTTGTATTTGTATTAGTGTTATTATTTTGCTTCTTATGTGTCCGTGTGAATTTCTTAATAAAATGATGGGGATAATTATTAATTATTAACGCTTTTTTTATGTGTTTCAATTCCTTATTTAAGTCCTTACAATGACTAGTGAGTTTCATAGCTGTGTTGTTTAGACATTTGACTAAACCCGCTTTAACTGACACTGGATGAGATGACTTGAAGTCTAGATACCTGTTTATTCAAATATAAGACATTCAGAGAAAACCTTAACTGTTAGTGGATATGTGCATACATACAATTAGAAGATGGGATGAGAAAGAGTTGCAAACTAACTTAACTTATTTGGTTAGTTGAATCGCACCGCCAGTCACCAAATAAATTACAATATAATGGATATTCAGACAGTATAGTGACGTCCAATAGATACCGATCCAGTATAGTAACGGGAAATTGTAAGTACCAATAACCTTTAGCATTCATTGTGAACTGACATCAGCTGAAGAACCATTGGAAACCTGAAAGCACTGGAAAGATGTTTCACCGTAGTATTGCACACCCATGACCCCTTCAGGAATGGAACCTAAGATGCTTATATCCCGTGGTCAGAACACTACCATTGAGTTATTGGGTCGGAATCCAATGATCCACACATTCTCTACTTCTATGAGTCTACGATATAACAAAATTTCCATTCATTTGATCTCCTATTGATGTCACTCCGTATTAAACACCAACCAAAAAACTGTATAAATCACTTCATAAAGTTGTTTTAAGAAAGAAGAACCAATATCCAGGGCATACATATAATAAATGAAACTAGATTGAAATTGTTCTCTACCATAATGTTCAAGGTCTACTTTAATTATCTAAACATACATTACATTTCTGATAGTTATAGGAATATTCTTGAATTGTATGATATTAATAATCTAAATAGATGGATGAAGTATATCGGTTTTACTTTTGGTAATGATATTCCATTGAAATAGTGATATTTGCATTATGTAAACATAATTTTCTTTCAATTGTTATTATTTTTTTTTTCTATGTGATTTATTATGTCGTTTTATTGAAAATAATTTATTTCTAATGAATTCATTTTCATCCAAATATGCTATTCTTTAAGCTTCTTAAAAAAGTAGCTGATAAATATGTCTTTATGTGTCATAAACATACTTTTATTTGATGATACAACATGATTGTTAGAACTCGTTAAGTAATCCTATACCCACATTTCTTGCTTAGTGTTACCAGTTAGCAAGGTATATTTACAGCCTTGATGGAACACTGATTTCCTCTCAGACATTTAAACTCATATAATTCACTTATCATTCAATCGATCAATATCAACATAGGACAAGGCATTACTGTGTAACGGTCCAACTTGCCACTCCTCATATCACTACATCAAGTAGAAAGGTAGTGAGGTGAAGCATGAAAATAAGAGAATGCAGTCAGAAGAAATATAAAATACGAAAGGAGAGAAAGTAAGAATGAGGAAATGGTGATATCCAGTATAGCGTTAAGATGAGGATAATGTGTGTATACCTAGAGTCAGTCTCCAACTACTAGTTCCTCTTGTCCCGCAGACCCCAACCACCTAGTCTCCATCGCCCTACATGGCTCAAACCAACAATCAGAGACTTCATACATTGATGCCGTGTTTTAGTGTGACCATCTCGAGCCTTTTTCCAACCTGAACCTACTGCGGCATACGTAGTAGGTGTCCCACTCATCTCATTCGGGGAAGGTTCATGACTTCGTCAACTGATTTACCTCTACTCCCTAAAACTCTACACCTGACTTCTGCATTACTCACGAGGTGCAGTGACACCATGGAATCGAATACGGCCTATTGTACGAAGGCGACGGTGGTCAAACACATGAGGAAGCCTTCTTATATCTTCCAGTTTCAATGGACATGTTTCACAGTGATAGAGTAGGAGAGAGTGGAGTGTTGTGCAGTACACGTGACCCTTAATGGACAGAGGGATATGATGGCGGTGCCATAGGTGGCGTAAATTGTGAAAAGCCAATGGAGTGTTTTGTATCTGTGCAGATATGTCATTGGCCAGTGATCCACGAGGGTTGATCCTACTTGCCAGGTAGTTAAGTGAAGTGGTCAACACAGTTAACCACTTCACTGTGTATTGTTAGTGGTGGTGGTGCCCCTCTGAAAATCAGTCGTGGAGCAAAAAATTGTATTTGGGTGGTGAGAACCGCATCGGAAACATTGAGGAATCGTCACTGAAAGTGTTGAGAATACTGTGAATGTTGTCAGCGTCTTCACTTAACAGGACTATGTCATCTGCATATTCTAGGTGTAAGGATAATTTTGCTGGGACTAGGTCAACGTTTGTGTAGTCAGGTGAGGATAGGGAGACCTGCATAAGAATATGTATGATGAAATTGAATAAGAATGTGGATAATGGATATTCGTGAGAGACACCAGTGGATGAGCATAGTTTCATGGACATGTGTCCGTAGGGTGTAACACGCTCACAAATGTTTGAGTAGAGAGCTTTGAGAAAGGTGATGTAGTTACTTGTACGCCTTTCAGAGAGAGAGAGAGATTGTCATAAGACTTGTCGATGATGGGAGTCGAATGCCGCCTTCGAGTCGAGAAATTCACTTATAGGCTGCAAGAGAGTTGTTGTAAGATTAGATGGAACATATTGATGCCTATATTGCAAAATGTTCGATGGAATTCACTTTGTAACTCTCCACTGTCCAATCGGTTAAGTGAATTAAGTTTCAACCAATGAGTTATTTGTTTAAATTCCGCTCAAGTTATCAAGGTTTTGGCAGCCTCATTCCATACAGACAACATGAATGTGTACACGGTTGATATTTACAGTCACTAAACTTAATGTTTATCCTTATTCTTTAGTTGCCTATTTTCATAGTCATAAAGTGGATAAGTCATCTATTGTGTCATTCATCTGGGACTGTCGCGGGTGAATTTACAAGTTTACTCTACTGTGTAGTAGTATTAGCGAAGATCGTAATGGTACTGAGTTTGAAAAAAATAGTATTATTCATTTCATTTCACTAAAATACTTAAAAATGACGTAAATGCAACAGGTTAGTATAGTTAGTATTTTCAAAATAGCCGTCAAAGGTTTATTCTATGCAGTTTGAAATGGATTAGAAAGTTGTTTTCATCAGTGTATAGATCCTTCAATAATATTTCTTCATGAATTTTTTAAAGGTCAAGCGTTTAATTCTTAGAAGGCATTCATTTAAAAACGAACCTAATCTTTTAATTTTCCTAATTTATTTTGCGAATTGATATCAAGAGTATATAGGTATGTCTAACTTTCAGAGAATAGAGTGAAATAACTGTTGCACACAATTTTAGTGCAAATCGTTTTATTGTCCGTTAATACCTTTGTGAAGCCATCGATTGGAAGTGACGAAATAATGGGAGATACTAGAACGCTACTAACGCAATGAGATACTTGGACTGTATACAAAGACACTTGATACTTCATTAAGCTGCGAAAATCAGCAGACAAACACCTGCTTATGACTTTAATAAAGAACTTTATTTGACAAGTTGAAGGATAGAGTTATCCAATAAAGTTTTTCCTGACCACACAGTAACATGAGATAAGGTTGAAATCGAAAACTTCTTTATTCGTGGCTGACTCAGAATTATTATTTTTTATATTATTTGTCCCTTGGGTTCCTAATGGGACGTTGGGTTGGTTGGTTGGTTGGTTGCCAGCCAGCTAGCTAGAGTTCCTTGTTGCTTATTCTGATTATTCTGGCAATCCATCTCATCTTCAGTAACGAGCTAGCGTAGGTGGCGGTTGTTGATGAATGTGTGTAGTTTGTTGGAAATGCTTTTCGTGACGCGCCAGGTTTCTCAACCATCATATAGCAGCACTGCGTTGAAAATCCGTATGTTGTTCACACTTTATGCTGAGTGGAGTGCAGATCTCCACACTGGTTTCAGGTTAATGAACGCCTGTCTTGCTTTTCCAATCATTGTTTCGACATCGTCATCTGTGTCGCCACTGCCGCCTGTAGTTGAAATAGTGCTTCCTAGATAAGTGAAGGAGGTTACTTCCTTCAAGTTTCTCCTGTTGATGGTGATTGGAGTTTGTTGTTGTTGGTGGTGGTGGTTGGATATGTTAATCACCTCTGTCTTCTAAACGTTCACTTGAAGTCCCGTCTTCACTGCCCTGCCTCTTCTGTCAACTTGTCAGTTTTCGCCTGTAGATCTTCAAGTTTGTGTGACATTAGACATAAGTCGTTGGCGAAATCCAAATCTTCTAGGTTGTTTTATCTGGTTCAGCGTATAACCCTCTTCTCACAACTCCTCACTGTTTGCTGTATGATCCAGTCGACCACTATCAGGAATATCTTTGGTGATAGTGGACAACCTTGTTTCACTCCTACCTGTTTTCACTTCCAAAGCATCACTGAGCTTCCCATTATGAATTACTTGGCGTGTGGAGTCTTCATATAGTTGTTGAATGAGGCGGAAAAAGGTTTGTAGCACTAAAACCGTAGTATTGAAGCAGTTGCCTACCAAATTACCTCTCAGTCGACGTTGAATGACTTAGAATACTGATTTCGATTACTATGAATAACCTTTTTTTAAAAAAAAAGTGAGAATTCATTTATTTATTCAGTTAAAACTTTTTCTCTGAATGATATACTTCTTATGTCTACAGGAACGCTGTTATGTAGCAATTAGGATGCATGTTGCTTTAAGCATTTGATAACCCTTTTTGGTTTTTATCACCCTTAAAAGCTATACTGCTACTGCTTGTCTTGCATTTTTAGTATAATTAAAAAATGGAAAAAAAAAAAAATTAATCTTCATTTTTCAATTTTTTTCTTGTTTTTTGATACTGTTCATCTTCTAGACCATCCAATTAATCCACCTGAAAAAACTGGTGATCCTTTTGTAATTGATTATTGGCCTAAACCATTAGATGTGAAATTTGAATTCTATCAAGGTATAATGCATATTACGCCTAAATATGAATTATTAAATAAACACAAGATAAATTCAATAAATAGTAGTATATTGAAAAATAATAAAAACTCAATTGAACAAATTGATCAATTAATAATTGATGAAGATTTACCAGAATTCAATGTACCTTGTTTACAAACATTTTTCTCAGATTTTGATACAATACGTACATTTGTAGCAGATGGTCCATTGAAGTCATTTTGTTATCGTCGATTAACATATTTAGCTGCAAAATTTCAATTACATTCTTTATTAAATGAAGCTCGTGAATCACTTGAACAGAAACGTGTATCTCATCGTGATTTCTATAATATTCGAAAGGTTAGTTATAATGTATAGTTTATTGCTTATTTAAAATAAATAATCAGAAAAAAAAATGTATCATTATCATCGTTTATCACAGCTAAAGTCCTACCGATTACCTGCCTTTATCCAATCGATATCTATCAAAGTGTACTTAAGTGATGAGCCAGCTAGCATAGAATTCTATCAGTACTTAGGATTAGATAACCTGGAATTGGTTATTCTCCCGGTGATCAATCAAATAACCTTCTGCAGGAGGTCAATAATGGCTCTAGTAGCTCATTGGAACCATCGAATTCCTTTGAGGTTGCAGATACGTCTAGTGGACGATAGTTAGAAACCAATAAACGTACGTTCAAAGCACCTTGCCGGTAAGCTACATTTAGTTAAGTTGTCTGTATGATCGACATAACTCCAGTCACGTGGCATATAAACAAGATTATTAATTTAACGTACCTGGGACAGGTTATGATTGGTAAATGTAATCAACCCCAGTGGAGGGTTAAGATGAATTCAGATAATCTTAACCGTAAATAAGTGTTTAATTTAATTATAGCTGGTTTACTGTGTCATTATAGGCTGTTCCTAGATACTCCAACTATTCAGATAACCTGCATTCATTCGACTAAATCTTTTTAAATGGTGATATTGTAGACTACTAACTGATCTTTTTACAACTTTCAAGGTTGAAAAGTCTACACATCCATTCAGTAGTATAAATCATGTTTTAAAGTGGTTTCCAATGTAGCTAGTTTATTCTTAATGGACAATCAATCAAACTGGAATTTTTGATTTTTCAAAGCTGTTAAGAGAGTTTCAAATAACTCTTTGATAATCTTTATTGTTTAAGGATGTGTATGATTGATTTTAATTCACAGTTATCAGTAAGCCTGCTGTAATGAAAGTCAGCGGGATAAATGCTTCTAAAACAGATTAAAATTGGTATACTATCTAGTTTGGTCTTTTGTGTGACTGGTTGGCCTGCTCAATCCTTTGTTCGAACCCCGCTCTACTTATTTCAGTTTGGGTAATCAGGTAGAGTACCATAAGACATCGTAGACTATGTGGTTGATAACACGGTACAAGAATAAACATGTATCACGTTGGGTTGCAAATTGATACTCCATTCTCCCTATAGTGTATTTATGTTAAAGACAATTAATTGTATTTGGTGATTGTCAGCATCGCACTCAAGAGCCTTACATGTTATTGAGGCGTTATAATGAAAGATATCCTTGCCTATAATACTGTGTTTGACAGGTCGTGTGCGCGGGATAGGTCAGAACTAGCTTGTCCACCCTGTGCATAATCGACTGACGCAATCACTGGTTAGAATAATAATCATGGTTGTTTGTAGAAACAAATGATGTGAGTGTTTCACCGGGGTGAAGGCACCCATGTGGTTGCGCCAAAGGATGACACTGTATACCATCCTAGTTCTAAACAGCCTAGACGTGTGTTTCTTTCTCTCCTGAAAACCAATGTATAAATATCCGTTCAAATGATGGGTGTCTATCATACTGTGAATAAACTAGTCATATGCTTGTCTCAGAGATTAAGCTTTGCATGTCTAACTGCATACCTTAATACGGTGAAACGGCGAATGGCTCATTAAATCAGCTATGATTCCTTAGATCGTAAATGCTACATGGATAACTGTAGTAATTCTAGAGCTTATACATGCCATTATACCCTGAATCACAAGGGAACGGGTGGATTTATTAGAACAGAACCAACCGAGGGCGTTTTTGACTGTCCATATTGCATTGTGTGATGACTCTGGATAACTTTACTGATGGCAATCGGCCTTGTGTCGGGGACGGATCTTTCAAATGTTTACCCTATTGATTTGTTGGTAGGTGATCTGCCTACTATAATAATAACGGGTAACGGAGAATCGGGGTTCAATTCCGATGAGGGTGCCTGAGAAATGGCTACTACATCTAAAGACAGCAACAGGCGCGAAAACTACCCACTTCGGGTGACCACTAGGAGGTAGTGATGAGAAATACAGATATAGTACTCAATTGAGGCTCGGCAATTCAAATGAGTATAAAGACAATTGTATTTATCTCGCAGAAATGAGTTCAGTATCCTCGTTTTCCATTGATATGTGTGTAGAGTTTTAAGCAGTGAAGTTAATGATTTATTCTTCTACTTGAATCATAATGCAGCTCTACACGCATTTTTCATGATTTTTATTGGGACGTTTGTATCATTTATGATATTTTTATTCTCTTATATGATTTTACTTGAGTTACAAAGCTACCAGCTATCCTAAAGGATACAGATTACTGATCAGTATAATGTGAAGGAAACATAATATTTCTTCAGTGACAAATAAATTAAAATATTACAAGAAATAGAAAATGTAGGGATGACATATCTTCATACCATTTTTGGTATTAAAATGCGATAAAGGTCACCAGAAAATAAGTTCAATATGAGGACAAATTGTTTTGGAACATATGGATGTTTGGACGTTCTTATGGCTATTGATCCGATAAACTATCCACGTGGCCGTTACATAACGGTCTACAGGCTGTTTTGGAGTCAATCTTATGGTGTGTTTCTATAATGCATCTACCAGTGGACTATGATGTCTATTTTCCCTCTGTATTGATTATTCGAATGTGATAGTTTCTCTAGCCATTGGAGGGGGGGGGGGGAAATATGTTTCACCATATTCGATTTCATAGTTCAATTGCTCCTTTCAATGTATATGTATGTCATTGAACACACATGTAAATTAGTATAATCGATGGGATGTAATGCAGTCATCTATGTAATGATGAGGTTTATGTTGGGGGCGTGAGTTTCGTGTATTCTGTAATGATGAGTTTGGCTGCATAGGATGTTCTTTTAATAACTGTCTTCAAATCATACTGTTTGATTTCCCCCTTATACGATAGCTCGATGTACACTTCGTTTTCGGGACAGAATACTGAATACATGTCAACGTTAGATCGTTTCTACACCTACTGACGATCTGTATGGGACATGCGTTATTTAATAATATCTCTGTTAAAAGTTTGATTTCAACTTCCACTGTTGTGTAGATACATTGCATACGTTTAAATAAGTACTTTATTAAACTTCATGTATACTTTGTAGTGCAGAAGCTGTCCATTCCACTTAGGAAGGAAGATAATAATCATCTTCTACTTCACACGATAAACTAATATGGCTTTTTATGTTATTAGGTCTGTCCAAAAGGCTTGTTGAATTCCTGTTTGTGTTTTGCTCATTACTAAGATATCATCAACATATCTCATGTACAGAGGAACTTTGTTGATTATATCCTCAATCAAAAGTTCTGCGTATGACATATGGGCATCCATCCATCCATCCAAATCAACATAGGACCAGGGATTACTACGTAACAGTCTGGGTTGCCACAGCTCATATAGACAGCGATAGTCCTAAAGGACCATTCCTAGCGATGGGGGTCCCGGGACAAAAGGAACCAGTGTTTGGAGACTGACTCTAGGTGATCGCATGGTTCAGAACTGATGTCAGTGGCACAGATGTATACACACATTATCCTCATCTTAACGCTATACTGGATATCACCATTTATTCATTCTTTCTTTCTCTCTTTTCGTATTTTATATTTCTTCTGACTGCATTCTCTTATTTTCATGCTTCACCTCACTACCTTTCTACTTGATGTAGTGATATGAGGTGTGGTAAGTTGGACCGTTACGCAGTAATGCCTTGTCCTATGTTGATATTGATTGATTCCTAACGATGCCACCAACTTGTTGAAAATGTTCACCTTCAAAAGTGAAATGAACTATATCGGTGCATAGTAGTAATAGCTCTTTGAAATATTTTGGAGGGATGAGGAATGAAGGGATATTAAAGGATATATAATTACAAAGAATGTCAGCAATCATGGTTTAAAGAAGGTTGGAGAATAAAAAGTTTACATCAAAAGCGAATACATTGTCTTATCTTTGATACTAATATCATTTGAGTAGTCAATAAGTTTAAAAGTATCTTTTCATGAAAATTTACATAATTGGTTTGTGATTGGGTTGATGCTAGACATTTAGCCAGTTTATACGTTGGGGGAGGGACGTAATTGGGAATTTGCTTTGTGTATTTAGGATAAACCATATAAGTTTAGATGTTTACACCCTATAGGTTTTAATGAACTAAATTCATCATGTTAAGAAGTTTAACTTACTTCTCTTCCTAGTTTTCAAATGTTATCTGTCGGACTTGTCCTTCAGGAATTCGTTTTTGCCATTGATAACATTTTGTCTTTGTGTCATGTTACATATTCACAACAACTACACCGGATCCCTTATCAAGTTTATTAAGAATGATTGTATCATTTCTATTCCGTAGTCTTTTCAGTGTATTGAAATGCTGCGAAGTCAGGGTATTTGTATGTATGAAAGCAAAACTAATCGCGATCTCAGTTATATTGACAAATTTTGCTTTCAATCAGTTTTTATTTCCAGAAGAAGTTGGATTAAGTGAACTCATTTGATGATAAAAGATATTCATACTGGACATAAGTTATCAATTTCATCATCATCATCATTATCAACATAGGACCAGGCATTACTGCGTAACGGTCCGAGTTGCCACACCTCATATCAGCACATCAAGTAAAAAGGTAGTGAGGTGAAGGATGAAGATAAGTGAATGCAGTCAAAAGAAATATAAAGTACGAGAAGAAAGGAAAGGGGAATAACAAAATGGTGAGATTCGGTATAGCGTTGTTAAGATGACGATAATGTGTGTATACATCTGCGCCACTGACTTCGGTTCTGAGCCATATCACCTAGGGTCTCCAACCACTGGTTCCTCTTGTCCCGTGGACCCCAACCACCTAGTCTGCATCGTCCTACATGGCTTAAACCAACAGTCAGAGACTTCATACATTGGTGCCATGTTTTATTCTGGCCACCTCAGGCCTTTTTCCAGCCTGGACCCACCTGAGCCAAGATTGTGTGACGAGGCAATCGGTGACTAGGCATACGTAGTATGTGTGCCAACCATCT